TTTTTTACAAGAAAAAACATTTGAAACCCTATCTTGTCATTCTTAGATAAGATAACAGTTATTACATAATTAAAAAATTCTTCCCTTTCTGTTTAGGATTATTTTGTAGTTTTTTTTTAGGTTGCCTTTGCACTAAAACTGTAGAAGTTCAGAAAGTTTAATTAAGGTGAATCATTCTATATTAAGTTCCTTATTGAAATCGTTCTACTTATTTATTTTATCGCTTTCATTTGTGACTCTTTTGAGGGTGCATTGGCAGATGCACACCCACGCACAAGTTTTCTTTTGTGGATTTGAGGTTTGCTTATGTATGTTCTGAAGAGTATGAGTGAAGAGTATATAATTTCAATTTGGAAAACTATTGTAGAATATCATAAATAAACTTTTTGTAGGTATTGTATTTTTGTATTGTATTGTTTATAACGCCTGTAGTTATTTGGAAAATATTCTCTTTGTACATCTTTGCTTCTTAGGACAGTTTAATTCGTATTATCGTGCAGCAGGCGGAGTATCTAATTGTACTTTTGCGGACACCCAACCTTTGACAATATCTTCCAAATAGCTTCTCCGTTGGCCGAATCAAATGCTTTCACCAAATCTATGAAGGTCATGTTAAGTCTGTATAGAGGACGATTTTGTTCTCTGTTGTTGACAATATCCTTAGTTTGGGGGGTTGTTCTTCAGATTTATTATGTGAAACAATTCCTCAGAAAACAAACCAATCTTCAAGAAAAGACTGAGGATCAAAAAGAACAAGAATGCTGAAAAACGGATGGTGAATAACGGAGTCATTCAAATTAGAACATTTAGCAGACAGTTATACAAAACCACCAGTCTTCCTTAGTGCCACAATAGCAGCTAATAGTTTCTCTACAAAATATCCAAATGGGAATCAGCTTCTTGAATAAGTAAGCACTTTTAATTAGCCCCCGATGGACCTCCTAAACCAGAATGCTCCACGTAAGATGATGTCTTGAATAAAGTTTGTCAAAAATCCATTTAATCAGGCCTATGATGTATCCTCTCCTGTAATTTTACCAGTTGTGTTATAGCTCAAAACTTATACCTGTCTCTATTTTTACGTGTAGAATAAACAGTGACAGATAACTTAACGTTGCTGTTAAAATAACAGAAAATGATACATCATAGGCCTGAATATCAAGTGACTGACGTTCCGTCCGATCAAGAAGTCCGTGCAGAATTTCTCAAGGTAGGCGCTCGAACGTTAGTCGAACACACGGGGTATGGTCAAAACATGGAACATGGACATGATTCCCTCATTTATGTGCGTGACACTTCAATTGGGCTTATATTCTATAGAGGCGACAACAAAGTGTGTAAATTACTGACAAAAAATATTACTGCTGTCTAGCCAAATCCAGATAGGATGGACTTGATCTTCTGTGCAAGACAAATGCATGCCATTAAAATTGAAAGAGTAGAAGAAACCTATATATATGACATTTATTGCATGTGAAAGCGTTTGACTCTATCAATCGAATAGGTACATGTAAAATACACCCATGCACCACAAATGCACGGCATGCATGACAACATGAACGGCCTAACGGTCCTAACCAACAACGGACCTGGAGAAGCCTCCTCAACCGGAGTTGATAAGCAGAGTTGCCATTGCGACAAGTTAATTTCCTATATTTGAGAGGACCAACAAATTACTCTTAATGCATTCAACCAAACATACGAAAGCATCGGTCTAGAGCTATAAGCACAGCTTAGACCAAAATCCTATTCCAGTCTGCCCCAAATACTAATGCACCAGTTCTACGTGTAATTATCAATGGAGCACCTCTAGAAAATATAGAATACTCCTTTCGTAGTCATCTTTCGAAAAAAAGCCAATATTGACGCACAAATTCAACACCGACTATAAAGTCAGTGCTTCTGGACGTTGTAACATGCTAAATGTTACTGTTTGTTTTTCTTTTATATATTATTTTATAAATTAAATTATCGCCAATAATAATAGCAATTATTAACCTAGAGGGCACGCTTCCATTTGAATTTGAAGTACCAGTTTGGTATCAACACTTTCCGTTGGTTATTTTTTCGAAGGAAAGCTCTGCTTGTTTAGCTTGTCCTATTATTCGTGTTGTGGAAACAGCCAAACAATCATATTTATTTTTTATGATCACAGTGGCAACGTTGCAAAAAAGCCCCCCGCCGTGAAAAACTTGCAAAATGGCGCCGTACCAGGCTGTACGCATCGACCCAGTCTGGTTGTTTGTCGCTAGGGGAAAAAAATGCATTCCTTCTCTTTTTCACTTCGCAGTGTGATTTGTGATTTTAGTAGTGTGGTTTCACTAGCAGTAAATAGTGCGTAAAAACGTCTAGCTCTATACAAGTTTGACCTGCTCACTCATAAAGGGGATGGGGACGTCGCTGCTAAATAATGCACTCACACTTCCAGTTTTATATCTCTCTATTGTTGCCAAAATAATCGTTTAATAAAGTAATAAATACTGTAACCACATTCAAGTACTTTTAATTATTCACAGGTTAGTTAACAAGTCGCATTTGAGTTATTCGAGAACATTCACTACTCGGTATAAATTCACTAGTTGCTAAAGTGCTCAATAGTCAATTTAACAATAATTGTCAGTATTAGCGGAACGCTTATAGACTTATTTTTTTATCTCTCTGGCCGCTGGCTTAAAAACTCAAGTGATATAATATCGCGTAAAACATTGAGTTAATCACACTCCCCTTTTTTAAGGGCTCTCTAAAAATATAAAAACTCTCAACTCCCGAAGATTTCTATTAAGAATAAACTTTATCTTGTGCTCTCAATTAAAATATAAGCGTTCCGCTAATACTGACAATTATTGTTAAATTGACTATTGAGCACTTTAGCAACTAGTGAATTTATACCGAGTAGTGAATGTTCTCGAATAACTCAAATGCGACTTGTTAACTAACCTGTGAATAATTAAAAGTACTTGAATGTGGTTACAGTATTTATTGCTTTATTAAACGATTATTTTGGCAACAATAGAGAGATATAAAACTGGAAGTGTGAGTGCATTATTTAGCAGTGACGTCCCCATCCCCTTTATGATCCAGTGATCTAGCCCTAAATTAAATGTTGACACCTCAGTTAGAGGCCCTAACAATTCGTCTGTTTAAATTTTGACTTTCAACCTGAAAGGTCGATCCTGGCCTGGGGGTAGCCGCATATTCTTTAAGTGTGATTACCGTTCTCGTGGAAAAAAGTACCTTATCGGCCATCAGGCACTAAATTCCGAAATAAAGCTGCATAGGGTAATGTTCCATTAATTACCGAAAAATTTAACATCGAAAGTCTTGTGATAACCGTTTTATTTGGGTTTGAATTTCGAACCCCCTCGTGGTGAGTTCTTTTTATTTATTTTTTTTAAAGAAATAGCTGTTCATGCAATGCCTTCATTACTTAGCGTCTTTCGAGGACCCAGTTTCTTTCGAGAAGCTCGTTCCTTCCGAGAAGTCCATTTTCAACAAGCCCGCACATTTTTAACGATCCTCATTTTCGTGGAGCTGATTCTCAACATTTGAAGAAAACTGTGAACATCTAACCCCTATCTACCTTGATTCAAGGCAATCTGCAATTTCCATCTGCAAATTCCTTCATCAAATGGCAGAAAATGGACGGCTACCGTACGTTTTCGTTGGGATTGAAACGTTGGAATTGAGGCTTGTATAGAGTTTCATTAATAGCTAACTTTCATCTTTTTTTTTATGAAATCTATTTTATGATTATTTAACAAAATTTATTGATTTTTTTATATGACATTACATTTAAATATTAAATTTTAATTCCACATTCTTGACATCGAAGTGACCTTTAAATAATTATTCTCCGATCGTCATCAATAATCTGAACTGAGGTCAAGTTTGGACAATATGTTCCAAATTTAAATTTATTGAGTAAGTACCTACATCCTCAAAAATTAATCAATTTTTCACCTGGGTTCTACAACTTATAAACTTAGGGAGGATTTTTGTCATATCTCCTGTATACTTTCAACGTTTAACCATTGATTTCATAGAATTTTAATTTGATTTCAGTGACTTTTTTTGCTGGCAGCAGATGACCATATTTATCCATATAATATAATTTTCAATCATTATTTATTTATTTTTTTTAAATATTCTGGAAACTTGAATCTTTCATATTTTCATTTCAAGCTAATGATATGGCCAGCGGCTGTTAAGTTGAATCATGTGATAACTATACTAGTATGTATATCGTGATATTATTTTTTTAGTTTGGTGGATCCAATTGAGGGTTAAACCTACATCTATTGATTTAATATTTTATTGCTTGACTGATTTTTTTTTATTCTCCGAACTATGAACTTAATTTGATATCACCGTGGAAATAAACACTAATTTAATTTGAAAATTGCTCCTATGCTACCTATGTCAAGACTTGGTTGAGTTGTATGCATTATTTATTTCCTTCTCAGAATTATTAGCAATTATCTTTTGCAAATTTTTTTTAGGTGTGTTTCTGAATTTTCACACTTCATTATTTCAAGTTATTTAATTATTTATTTTTACAAACTCAGTGGCGCCCTTGCCATTCTGTACTTATTTACCTATTGGCTCACGCCTAATTATTTGCTGAGCAAACTGATCATATTATGGAACTCTTGTCTCTTAAAAAGTTTTGGTTTGGGTGGGTGACGGGTGACTGGAAGGCTATACAGCACTGAATACACTTGAATGACTACGAAGTATCCATCAAAACTCTCAGTAGTTAGAACAACAAAGTCTAAATGATGCAGATGAAGAACGGAATCGAAGAGAAGAAAAAGAACGTCTGATAAGAGCTGTTCAACAATAGTGCCGAGCATAGTGGAAAAAATTGTGAGTTTAGATTGGGCTAATTCAGCCAATACATGATCCACAGATAATCAGGTTGTCAAGAGACCTATAATATTCGTTAGCGAGTAAATCTCTATGATGATGATACAAAACAATAATTACAATACTTTACTTACGTAACTGGCATCTGTCCGTTGAACCTGTATAGCCAGGCAATATAAAAATTTGATACTGTGCACCCAATATAAACTATAGCCATAACGGTATAACCGAATGTTTGATTTTTGACAAGTGCCATAAGCATAAACGGCGAGAAATAGTACCAAAACATATCTACACTCAAGTACCATGTTGGAGCTATACACTAAAAATAAGTACCTGATTTATTGAACGGAAAAAATTACTGAAAAAAATTTACCCACCATATACCTTGGATTTACAAAAGGCTGTAAATATAACAAATTGCTCCACCAAAAATATCCACACGTAGTCTGGTAGTAGGCTACTAAATCGTTGTACAAAGGTCCTTCTCCAAAGTGCTTTGCAACTGTTGCGTGAGTAGATACTGCTAAGGCTAGAGGCACTAAGAATCTCATATTTCTGCTCAAATAAAATACAATTAGATTGATTTTAATTCCCCTTGAAGTCATATCAAAAAAAGTGTAACTTAGTAATATAGATGAAATTAGAAGAAAGGTGTCGACCGTCGTTGTACCTCCATGGACAGTGGTGCTGCTATAGGATTCTAACCACTGAAACAGAGGAAACATTATTAATGTTATAACAGACTTACACGTACGCAAGAAATGTTTCTTCTGTTGATAGAGACAACAAAAGTTAGGTTATTCAAAATGCTTGTCATTGGAGACGTTTTCGCCAACAGCCAACAAATATTTGTTTTCCGTAGTCGTAGTACAAATACAACTTACGTCAACAAGATCCATATAATTTACGACAGGAGTAGCCATATTATGTATGAATCTATGTCCATAGACCACAAGATACATGCTTAAAAACCGCATTCCGTGCAAACAAGAAATATCGTTATTGTTTTCTCCAATTGAAAATAGTCTGTAGGAGTTTTTTTTCAACGAAAATAAATCTATTATTAATATATCATCTAAAAAATTGTAGATATTGAGATGCATAATTGAAAAAAAGAAAATTACCTTCAATGAAAAAGTCAACCATTGTACAAATTAAAGTTATTGCAACCACTAAGCCAAAGCAAAGCCTACAAAAATAACACTATTTAATTTTGTTCTGTGTGTTAAGTATGTTCATTTTTACTTACATGAAAATAAAATCACCATTAGTAAATTTTGGTAAATCCTCCAGAGTTAAACAATGCTCCTTCGAAAGAGATAAGGTTAAATTTAGGCCCTCCGTTACATCCACAATGCTTTTACTAAAATGACCTAATACATCGTCATGAGTGCATGCGTCTGGCACGCAAACTGACCAAGTTAGTTTAACACCATCAAGAATATTGTGTTTAAGGTTATGGAAGTGCTAAACATAAAATAATTTTTAAATATAATATTTTCCTCTTATAAATATTGTACCTTTTTTGAAACCTTTCGTTTATAGTCTAATACAATGTTAACTAGCTGGTCCGTAGGGTGAATATGCAAAGTACAGTGCCGACCTCTGATAGGCCCATAAGCTGTGTCTTCGTAAATATTTAAACATTGCCTAAATGCTCCCAATTCAGCTAAGTTTCCACCAAGGATTCCGGACATAAGCTTGGATGAAGAGTCAAACACTACAATAAAAATTTAGGAAATCAAAATTACAATACTCACAAAAGTCATCCATACTTTTCAATGCCCAAGGCTCCAGAGCTCTTAATCCAGCTTTAAACTCATTGACGTGACTACTGCATAGAGTATTATTTATATTACTCAGTCCATAAGTATTTAAAATTTGATTCATAATCAAGCCCTGCTTCATGTTGAGCTTTATTGGCTTTCGGTTTCTAGGTTGTACTTTATTTTCGTCGTCTTTTGGCAAAAAGTTAGTAATGCCGTCTGTCGAATTTTTCATATTTGCCGATGGTTTGTTATTGGATGATACATCTAAAAATGCAAGGCCCTTTAATTACATTCCAACGTCCGCACATGGTGTTGCACCACCGAGCTGTAGGATGTAGGTATATCTTCACGTGCTAACTTCTGAATGTGTGTGAACAAATCAAATTAAGATAAGAACTGAAATTTAAAAGTTATATACAGTGTGTCCATACCCACTTAAGTTCGCAGCATATGGGAAACTTTTTTGTTATCAATTTTACGAAAAAAAGTTATTCTTTATAAAAGTATCTGCTTCTTGAAAAAATAATATTATACAATTGAAACTTCAAATAGCATGTACAGGGTGGTCAAAAAATATAAAAATATACAGGGTGTTTCCGAAGTACGGTTCGTAACTTTGGGATGTGATTCCTTACAAAATTTTAAGAAAAAAAAGTTCCCATAAACATGTGTCCGTAAATGCGTAGTTTCTGAGATACACGGTATCAAAGTTTTAGAAAAAATCGTTTTTTTAGGTCAAAAATCCCTTTTCCAATTTTTTTTTTCAAATTTGGCAGATTTGTCTGTGATAACGAAAGGTATCCTTTGACTGTAATATGACTTGCTTAATCTGAAAAAAAATATCAAAGGTTTAAAAAAATAGTAACGTGCAATTTTTTTTCTACTTTTACCAAAAAAACCTGCATATTTTTCCATCCTCTGACCACCCTGTATGTACATGCTATTACAAGTTTTAACAGTTTTATATTATTTTTTCAAGAAGCAGAAACTTTTAGAAAGAATAACTTTTTTTCGTAAAATTGATAATAAAAATAAATAATTTTTTTTTTTGCAAAATCTGCAACAATCTAGAACGAAACACGGCCGATAACTGCAAATGACAGCCTTGCCTGATTATGATCTTTGGCTATTGCATCGCCTCGGATCACAAACTTCAGCCCGGCCGTTATTTGCTTTTGATTGGCCTTATAACGTTGATAAATATTAAACAATTTCCTATGCACGTCATAGTCTTCGAATGACGTAGCAAGAAGGCAGTATTGCCAGATTGTGATAGAAGGAAGTTATACTAATGTTGCAATTTTCTCGATTTAGAAATAACTTGTGTTAAAATGAAGAAAACTTGAACACCGCACCGTAATATACACCAAACAATGAAACGAAATTAAAATTTGCTAAACAAGTCTTTATTGTAACAACTTTCAATTACAACAAAGTAATTATTTTTGAAACACACATAAGATTATACGCAAAAAATATTTTTTCTCCAAATGACAGTAAAAGCGGCCTTTTAATGACTGTCCATTTATCCAAATTGGAACATTTAATCTTAATATTTTTACCATACTGTACATATTAGAATTAATTAATTATAAGCAACCTACTTTTATTATTGGAAATGACGACAATCGATGTGTGCAAAATCAGCATTTATTGTATATAAAAGGTGATCAATTTCATTAATAAAATCAGATTCAAACTTATTGTTGTTTCTCTTACTTAAATTGTGCCCAAGTCACCATTGGCCTAGCAACGCTAGTAGAGTCGTGAGACTGCGCTCTAACAATTACTTTTCTTTAGCCTTATTGTAGCAGGTGCTCTGTCTGGTTACATTAGGCCCTTCTCTAAACCTGTAGCAAGTGCTTTGTCTGGTTACAGGTTTAATTTAAACCTTATAGCAAGTGCTTTGTCTGGCTTGGGTCCTTTTTTCCAACTTACAACAAGTGCTCTAGTCTGGTTGTAAGTTACCTATCTTACGCCCTAGTGCAAGTGCCGTGACTTTAAGTCCTGTCTGGTACTAAGGCCCTTCTGCTCTTCTATCCTAAACCATCGGGATCAAGCAGAAAATACTATCCAGAGAACTAGAGTCTCCTGGAGCGTACATGGTCCTTCGAGCAAAAAGTTACAACGGTCAAGAATCAGCAGCCTGCAACAGCAGGCAACCAGAGTCCTAGAGGTCCCACCAGTAGCGATCCTCAGGTCCATCAGCCAGAGTCCCAGAGGTCCCACCAACAGCGGGCCCAGAGGTCCAACCGAACCAAGCAGCCATCAACCAGAGTCCTAGAGGTCCCACCAGTAGCGATCCTCAGGTCCATCAGCCAGAGTCCCAGAGGTCCCACCAACAGCGGGCCCAGAGGTCCAACCGAAACAAGCAGCCATCAACCAGAGTCCTAGAGGTCCCACCAGTAGCGATCCTCAGGTCCATCAGCCAGAGTCCCAGAGGTCCCACCAACAGCGGGCCCAGAGGTCCAACCAAACCAAGCAGCCATCAACCAGAGTCCTAGAGGTCCCACCAGTAGCGATCCTCAGGTCCATCAGCCAGAGTCCCAGAGGTCCCACCAACAGCGGGCCCAGAGGTCCAACCAAACCAAGCAGCCATCAACCAGAGTCCTAGAGGTCCCACCAGTAGCGATCCTCAGGTCCATCAGCCAGAGTCCCAGAGGTCCCACCAACAGCGGGCCCAGAGGTCCAACCAAACCAAGCAGCCATCAACCAGAGTCCTAGAGGTCCCACCAGTAGCGATCCACAGGTCCATCAGCCAGAGTCCCAGAGGTCCCACCAACAGCGGGCCCAGAGGTCCAACCGAATCAAGCAGCCATCAACCAGAGTCCTAGAGGTCCCACCAGTAGCGATCCACAGGTCCATCAACCAGAGTCCCAGAGGTCCCACCAACAGCGGTCCCAGAAGTTCATCCAGACCCAACAGCGGTCAACCACATTCCCAGAAGTTCCACCAATAGCGGTTCCAGAGGTTCAGCTAAGCCCATTGCAAGATCAACAGAACAATGATGGAAGAAATGAACGTACGTGCTGCTCAGCAAGAAGAACTAGGCAAAAAGATCATGCAGCTTTACACCAACTGTAAAAAAGATGGCCAATCAAGAAAAACTGAACAGTATGTAGAACAAAAACTTGGAGCACTAGAAGAACTATGGGATGCAGTTCAAGAAAATGATCATGAACTAAACAAGTTCAATGAACCAAATCACGCCTACTTTACTAAAAAATACCTGCAACAAATAAAAGAGAGGTATGAGACTTGCAAGAAGTACCTTGAAATGATCAATGATGAATTACAAAATAGTCCACAACTCTTACTTTTGAAAAAACAAAATCTTAAGTGTGAGGAATTGGATAGAACAATCGACCAAATCAACCAAGATCTAGCTGAATCAAAATCAAGAATAAGGTATGAATTACAACAGAAAAAGCTGGTAAAACAATGGGAAGCTATTCAAGAATTGCACGAAGAGATAATAATTCATGAAAAATCATTCACCAGTGCCTACTTCAGAGATGATAAGTTTCATGAGTATCAGATGAAGTATGAAGACACGTTGGAAAAATTATCAGCGGAAACAGTCGAGGCACAAGCTTCATGTCAGCCGCAATTACCACAGACCCAATCAATCTGGCCTGTAAGACATCTTGCGTCACCACAAATAACCATTCCAACATTTCACGGAGGCTACGAGAACTGGGGCTCTTTCCATGATGTTTTTTTGCGAGTAGTCCACGACAACATACATTTTTCCAAGGCAGAGAAGATACAACTACTCAAAACGCATGTTCGAGGAGAAGCTGCAAGACTCATTCAGCATCTGACAACCACTGAAAACAACTACGAGACAGCATGGGACTTGCTTCAGAATAGATATGAAAACAAACGACTATTAGCCTCGAAACTGATAGACAAGTTATTAGACCTCCCAAACCTTTCCTCCGGAAACGTTGAAAAATTGAAGCTCTTGCATGACATCACCAAAGAATGTACTCGTGGGCTAGAAAATATAGGAGTAAGCACACAGTCATGGGGGCCAATCATCATCAGAATAATCAGTCGGAAATGGGATTCCGAAACCAACAAGATGTATGAACAAACAATTACGGAACCACACAAAATTCAAGACTACCAACAATTCATGGAATTTCTTGAAAGAAGATTTCAATCTCTGGAAGCAACAAGCCCAAGCAGAAGAAACAACTCAGCTTGCCATTATTGC